AGGATGTATAAGGTAACCGCAACATGATGGAATCAATAAAGGACTCGAATTCATCAGGCAATCCATGTAGTGTGGCAACAATTAGGTCATAATCGGACACCGAAGCACTAGCAGCTTGCAAGGAATTAGCAACTTCATTGATTTGTTGAAGATACTCAGAGATGGATTGAGATCCTTTCTGAATTGATTGAAGTCGTGATCATAATTGGTGAATGTGAGCCTCCAAAACTCCACCAAAGCACTATTCAAGCTTCACCTAGAGCTCGCGAGAAGAGGAAACCCCAACCGTGAACGAAATGATCTCTTCTGATAGGGTAAAATTAAGCCATATTAAGAGATTTTAATCCTTTTCATACCAATCCTCGAAGGCAGGGTTTATCGAGCGATCACGCAAGAATGGTGAAGGACAAATCTCAGTGCCATCAATGATACCAAGAAGTTTGTATCGCCTGAAAATTAAAGTAAATAGTGCTCACCATGGTAGATAGTTGGATCTTTTCAGCTTGATCGGCACCATATTGCTGATTTTGTGAATCGTAAGAGAGGTATACGAATTCAGAAGACTTGGATTTGAAAAAGAATTAGCGTTTTGGACTGAAGGGAAGATGATCAGAGAAGATGATCTAGTTGGTGGCGATTCAAATTGAGCAGCCATATCTTGCAGAGATCAACATTTAAGAGAGATCGAAGATGAAAAATCAAAGAATTAGAGAGAAGAAAGCAAGAATCGATCGATTTGACGAGCGGAAGAAAATGTTGGTGCAGTGAAGCAAAATGGCGAGATACCATATAGAAACAGAAAATTTCCTCTGTAAATTTTCCAATTGTATTGAATGAATAAATCAGTTACACAGATGTGAATATATATAGCCTTAGCTACCTTAGGCTAGTTACAAGAATACCCTCAACTACCTTAACTAATTACAGTTACTAACAGAACTAATTACATTTAGCTTTAACAAACTATTTAACAGTAACTGATTGGATGACCTGTCATTCTTCCTAATATAGTTAAATAGTAACAAGATCTTGAAGAATTTCAACAAAAGTCTCAAGACTGCAAGAGAGTCAGAGATGACTCGTAAAACCTGTGAGTAACTTGTAATTTTTTGCGTTGATTATGTAAATATTTTAAAGTATTAGATTTTATTTTTTAAGATTAATTTGGGTTTCACTCTTTTTAATGTTAATATCAAAGATTGATATTATCTTAAAGAACTTATTGCTGATTTCGATGCTTAATATTAAATGATTGTACATTTTACTGAAAATATTTTTAAAACCAATCCTTAATAAAAATGTACTTGAATCCTAGAAGGAGAGAGGTATGCTTTTTGCAGGAGGCACCTTAAGTGTTTTAGAACCTAAAAAACTTCTAGTTATTCTAAAAACACTTCCACACGAGCCATAAGTTTCAATTTAATATAAATCGAGCCAAACACATGTTTACGAGCTTGAGCTAAGCTGAGATAAACTTGAGCTTGAAAGATTATGCATGCCAGCTCTAGCTCTGTTGTCCTGTTTTATGTGTCTCTTTTGTGTATCTTTGCTAATGTTTTGATACATGTCCTCTAACTTAACTTAGATATGACTCTGTTAACTTTTTTACTTGATATTAAAAGTTAAAAAATCCAAAATGCGAATTGGGATGGCTGTTGGACTACAAGATGAGCTAAGAACGATGATAATGTATGAATTTGCAAAATCTATTAAAAACCAAATGTAACTCACGTTTTTATTGTCAAAAATGCAAACTTTTTATTTTCGCGAAATATTTTCCGTGAGCATTAAGGAAAACTTTATAATTCATTTGGAAATGGACTTACGATTTATTGAGCAACAAATGTATATTTAGTAGAATATTTAAGTCGAAAACTCAAAAAATAAGTGAAAAATATAGTAGTAAGGACCAAAACATTGTCAAATGCGTTTCTACCCTTAAGAATGTCAACATAAAGTTTTACCTTAATTTTCAAAACTTCATAGTGAGGCAAAGGTGAAAATAAATAGATTGAAAGGTGACTTAAGTACAACTGGGCGATGATCGGTAGCATGGTACTGATGTTTTCCTACTCCAATTTTTTTTTATATATTTTCTGCTTTTTTGTTTTTTTCCTTTGAGTTTTTTTTTCCTACGTTACTTTATTTGAGTAACCACTATTAAATTCATATATTTTTAAAATTAGGTTTAAACCGTTGGTTACAAGTGTTTAAATATGAATTCTAATAGATTTGCATGGAAAATATATTTTGAAGAACATAAATAGATAGTTTATTGTATGGTAAGAGAAATAAAAGAAACATTAGCAAAATCTAAAAAAAAAACACCAAAAAAAAAAATTGAAAAGGGGGGGATTGGTAATGAGAGCAGTCGCTACCACACTAGCGATAGATCTTGTGGACAATTGGTAGCTAGCAAGTACAGATCGTATCATTTTCTATTTTATTTATTTATTTATTGCTTTTTTTTCTTTTTTTTATTGATTTTTTTTTCTTCCTACGTTACTTTATTTAGACTGAAATACCTCTAGATTTAGATTTAAATCCTTGTTTTCCATGCATCGAGTCGACCTCAATTTGCCTGACGAATCCTGCCTCATTTTGCGTTCTTCATTTTTCAGGTGTAGAGCCCGCCGCCCTTTTAGTGAGCAGATTCCGCCTCGTTTTGTGTGTGCGAAGACCGCCTCACTTTCTGTTCATCTAGGTTTGCATTATTCTGCGTTCGCGAAGTTCTCCTTGTTTTGCATACATAAAGGCCACCTTCTTTTTTGTTAAAAATAATTTTTTTTTTAATTTTCATGAAATATTTTCCGTGAGCATTAACAAAAGCTTTATAAAGCATTTGGAAGTGGTTTTATGGTTATTGAGCAATGAATGTATATTTAGTATAACATTTAAGCCAAAAACTATGAAAATGAGTGAAAAATACAGTAGTGAAACCCACAAAATTGTTAATATGGGGTTCCACCCTCAAGAATATCAACATAGAGTCTTACTTTAATTTTTAAAATTTCACGGTAAGGCAAAGGGGAAAATATAAAGGTTGAATGACGATCAACTCCGAGCGAAGCTGTATTAGATGGAGTAGTGGTGCCACCATCACTTTACTCCGGGGCACTAGGCGGAGTCTTGAGACTTCATTGGATGACCATGCTTGTTCCGCAAGACGCGATCTGATCCAGATATGGACATAATCATATTCTATAAGTTTTGAAGTTCCTACAACATAGGGATTGACATGCGCCTCAAATAATCACAACTCTTAAGAGGATGCAATATCTACTTCTATATATCCTCTAGGATTCTCCCAACTTAAAACGAGGATTCTATAATAAAAACAAGTTTCTCCCCATGATATAAATACACCCACCTAGGGTTTATCTACGGTCACGCAATATAAACACTTGAATTCTCATGTCTACTGCTTGAGTATAAAGTTATTCACTAACTTGACCGTCGGAGAGCCTTTGCCGGCGCACTCCCCTCCCCCACGGGTCCTAGGTTTCCTCACGGTTATTTCACTCTTTTGTAGGTTGCTCGGATTTGCGCTCAACCACCGCTCATGGAGGTGTGCGAATTTGGTTCCAACACTCTCCACTTGGGGTCACATTCTCGAAGTAAATTCTATTTTTATATCACATCAATTAATGCATAACAGTAGTGTGTACAACAGTAAAACATAATGTACGTGTTGTACCATATAATTAAAATTAAGTTTATACAATTGCTTACAGCTCATCAGTGACAAAGCAAAAGTGAAACTACCCACTATAGGAAGTTCACACTACTACTAAGCCCACTCGTCTTTCTATAACTCAAACCTTGTTCTCGCTAGGTCCTGAGGGGGCACAAAACAAAGTGAGTGGATCATAATCATTTGTCAATTCAAAGAACATAACCTTACTTTAAATGTCCAATTGGTTAACTAAGAGAAATTTTTGTGTACTCGAAACACAAGGCGGTACACCACGTAAAAATAGGCAACAAAGTTGATATGTCCCACTTTAAGGTATTCTTAATATCCCTCATATGACACGTGGTGTACTGCCTTATGTTATGAACACGTTGCACTTTCGTCTTCAAACTTCTGTTTGCATTGGGACGACCATGTACACCCCACACCACCACCAAATCACACCATTTCTAGATTTTTTTCCCAAACAAGAAAGAGAGAGAGAGAGAGAGAGAGAGAGAGAGAGAGAGAGAGAGAGAGAGAGAGAGAGAGAGAGAGAGAGAGAAAACTCGAAGAGGATCACCCATGAACAATCCATCTTCTATATTAAAAAGGAGAAAACTGACTAAGATCAAAAAAAGAGAGGAGAGAGAATCCAATTTTAATTTTTCTAATTTTTTAAGGCTTTTTAGCCAAAATGATCCCTAAGATTTGCATAACTCCCCACTTTGGTTCTTAAGATTTGAAATCAATAGAAGTAGTCCCTGAGTTTGTTCACCATCAATCATTTTGGTCATTCCATGAAATTAAATAAGGCTAAAATGATAAAAATACCCTTAATTTTTGTCAAATCAATTGGCCCATTGTTTATTAAATTGATGGTATTTGTGTCATATTGGTCCTTATTTAATATAAATTTTCATTGAAGGATCAAAATGATTGATAATAAATAAATTCAGTGACCACTTCTACTGATTTTAAATTTCATGGACCAAAGTGATGAGTTATGCAAATCTCAAAAAAAATTTTAGCTAAAATTTTTTTTTTCAATGACTCAATTGAAAATATCCAACCATACGAGAAACTACAAAAACAAAAAAGAAAAAGGTTAACATAAAAAAACTCGAAAAGTAAAAAAGGCAGAAAATAGGCTCGTACATTTGGCACTCGACTTGTACAGCTGAAAACGACATGAAACAAAAATTAAGAAAACGTGTCGATTTTGAAGTATGAGCTGGCATTTTGACTCTCTCAGCACCCAAAAAGTTCCTAAAAAAAAAAACCTGTCTCCATCCCGTCCGTCCATCCTCTATAAAAACGACAAAAACTCTCCAAATCTCCCAACGCGAAATGTCCTAGAAACCAAACAAAAACAATAAAAACCCCAAGCCCGCGAATGTTCCAAGAAACGGCGCCGTGTTGGTCGGACATGGCTCAGTCGGCGGCGTCGGCTCCGTGGACTCGGTTTGAAGACAAGTTGTTTGAGCAGGCGCTGGTCAGGTTCTCCGACGACTTGCCCGATCGGTGGGAGAGGATCGCCGAAGAGGTACCGGGCAAGACTCCTAAAGAGGTTTTGGAGCACTACGAGGATTTGGTGCACGATGTGTTGGAGATCGATTCCGGCCGGGTCAATGTGCCGAGTTATGCTGATGAGTGCTGGGACTCGGCCGGTCAGATCACTTTTGGGTCCAAGGTCAATAAGCATGGCGAGCCTGAGAGGAAGAAGGGAACTCCTTGGACTCCACAAGAACACAAGTAATTTCTTTTTCTCTCGTTTTTCTTTAAATTATCAAACTTTGTTTCTAACTGGTAAGAAATTGAACTTTGTTTCTAACGCAGATAATTATTGTCACATATATATATATATATATTGATTATTTGGATTTTCGAGAACAAAATGAATGCGATTTGGGTTGTTTTTGTTTCTTTGTTTCTGATTTTATTATCCCATCTGTTTGTTTTGGGGGAAATTGGCGGAAACGATGAATTTTCAAATTCCAATGGCTGAAATGGTTACTGTTCAGTATTTGATCAAATTTCTCATCCAAATTTAACCAATATCTCAAATGCTTTACATTTCGCCAATTGGAATTTGAATTCATCGTTTTGGTCTTTTTGTTTGGAAATATTCGGTTGTAAATTGATTTTTTTTAAAGTCAAACAGACTAGAGAATTGGTCTTAATATTCCAAATGTTGGTTCGGTACTTTGTCCTCCATTTTCTTTGCTACCAAGCGGAGCTAGTTGGAATGTGCTAGATTCTATATTTAGGTTTACCGAGTTTGACCGATGTCATGAAAACTTTCTTGCCAGCTGAACAGGATGTTGCATATTTTCTAAATTAGAATGCGCGTTTGTTGCTAAATTTGGAACAGAGGGTGAAATAGTTGTTATTGTGTCTAAAAACATGGTTGTGGTTTTTCTAAGGACAGATAAAAAGAGCACGAGGCCGTGAATTTCTTCATTCGGGGCTTTAAGTAAATGAAATTCTTATTTAGAATGTCTAAGCTTAGTCCTATTTTTCCATCAAGATATAAATGTACGTATGTTGTAGTGGTACAATGTCTAAGCTAAAGCTCTTGAATGTCGTTTCAATATAATTTTTCATCTCAAAATGGCATTGAGTAGAAATTTGTTAAGTTTCCGTTCGAGTTTCCTAATATTTTATGTAGTTGATTGATAGGTCAGGCATAATGAAGTGGTTTTGTTATCACGAGATGTATTTCATTTGTTGTTTTTACGACCCTACATCAGATTTAAATACGACACGGTTGTGTTAGGAAATACTAATAATACCAAATTACATTTCTACCTTTTAGCCCGATTCTGCTGTTCAGGAGCCTGATGTTTTTTCTGTATTCTAACAGGTTATTTCTAATCGGACTAAAAAAGTTTGGTAAGGGCGATTGGAGGAGTATTTCAAGGAATGTGGTTGTGACAAGAACACCAACCCAAGTAGCAAGCCATGCCCAGAAGTATTTCCTTCGCCAAAGCCAGTGAAAAAGGAAAGGAAAAGATCAAGCATTCACGACATAACCACTGTAGAGAGTAACTCGGTACCAGTGCCTGCTGATCGCAATTGGATTCCTCCACCTGCAGATCTAACTCACCAGTCTCCATTGCAACAGTTGACCCCGCAGAGTCATGTGCCTGATCAGGGGGGTTTGTTGAGGTACCAAGACTTTGGCTATCCGATGTAAAGATGCATTACGATCTCATGCTGCACACTCTGTATATAGAGAAATTGCCTGCTATGAACAGTACAGTTTGTAAAGTCGTATATTTTTTCGTTCTTTTAGCCGGTAGACGATTAGGAGAGTTGTATAGTGAAATTGACAGTTTAGGTTCTGTTTTTCTTATGTGAAGGGAAACAGATATGTAGGATATACTCTTATTGGTTGATTCAAAAGTAGCTTAAACATTGGCTTTGGTACTAAGTTTTGTGTACAAATTTTCTTTCCTTTACTGGTTGTTGGCCTACTATGGTAAAGGCAAACACACACCACTTCTAATTGGCTGCAGGGCACTTTGCGATGGATTCTGCTTGTGCAGTGTTGCTGACCAAAAGCCTTGGTTTGGGCTATCCACTCTTTATAACTTCATACACACCTTCATAATTTGCGGCTGTCGGATTAACTGAATTATAGAAAATCAAGAACAAAAATTAATCAGGGTGTGTGAGAAGTTAAAAAAAAAGGGTGCGGATAGCTCACCCCTTTTCGGACGAATAAATCGGTTTGCAGTTTTCATTCCAAAAGTTTCAGATGGGATCAGAATTTTCAGATTCACAATGTTTGGAATCTCATAGAATTTTCGCAACATAATTATGAAATAGTTTTTACCAAGTTTTTGATGTTCTTAGACTTTTTAGTATATGTAATCTATCTTTTTTAATATTTAGTATATGATTGCGTTTAAATTTGAGAATCAATTTGCGCTCATTTGATAACCAGTAACATTTAATTTGAACGTTAGTACTGTAATGCAATCGCCTCTAAGTATAAAAATCTCACCTTAACAATGTAGTTAAGATAGTATGGCATCCACACCGTAAATGACAACCTTGTTATGGTAATACTTATTTCATTTTGCATAATTAACCATAACGTTACAAAAATTATGTGACTTTGAGTAAATTTGAACTATTATCGTGTAACCTTACCTGTTTCGCAATTGAGACATGAATATTACGTCATTTTGTAACACCATTATGATGTTAATTTTGAGGCGAGACTTGAGGGTTTTTGGGGAGATGGAGGTGCTGGCGGTGGTGGTTGTGAGGGTAGAGTGGTTGGAGGAGGCGGTCGATTTGATTGAGAAGGTGGAGGGTTTGGCCGTGCGGTTTAGGGTGAATCCGTGTGCACGTGCATGGTGGCTTCTTGGATCTCTGGCAGTGTAGCCTCTATGTCATCTAGCCAAATGATATATACAAGTCCATCTCCTTTTCATACAAATCATTCTCGTCGGAATTATCCCCTATTTTCTATTTCGCTCATCATGTGACGGAAATTTGGGTTTAACGTTGTGTATAATGAATAAATCATCAAAAAGGGTAAACAGAAAGATATAATTGCATCTTCCGAGTCATTAGCCAAGACCTAGTTGAATTAGTAACGCGCCAATGCAAGTCAATCTTCTCAATCAAACTTCAAACTTGCTTTTGCCATGGCAAGAGCACCTTCATAACTTTGATTTCCACCAACAAATCCACTCATGTGGACAAAAACACATCCGGGAATCCCAGCCGCCTTCGAGAGCTCCTCGTCCCTAAGCCCTCGCCACTGTGATGCAAGAGCCTTCCGGCTCTCAAATCTATCAGGACCAACCGTCACCGCTTTAACTTTCCAGTGTTTCCTATCATCCTGCACATTGTTTGATTGTGATGGTAAAATTACGGACTCTTCTAAGATAAAACATCCAGACATTACCAACACAACTAAACGAAAGGGTAAAGGTCACTAAAAGCGTTCATTTTTTGTTAAAACGCGGCCACAAAGTTGTCCAAGAATACACTACGCTTCCAAATGATCCCAGAGAAATGGTTTTAAAGCTACTTACATTTCCAGTAACTCCTCCGTGAAGAAGCTAAAAATATTTCGACTTGCATGGAAAGAACTTGCATTTTCATAGGTTCATTGCACATGCTTAATAAAATCACAAGCAAGCCACCAGAGAGATAAAGGTACCTCATAGACAACATATTTGATGGGAGGCTCAATCTTCATCTCCTCTTCAAGCTCAAATAAATGTAGCTTCCACTGCGGGGATTAAAAACATATTAACGACATAAAAACAGTTGAAGGTAATGAAGAAATTATCAAGCTAATAGCATCAGAATTATGACAAAGCTTAAACCTAAGAGTATTTAATTGGCAAGACGAATACGCCACTGCATACTTACGGGGCAAGATCGAGTCAAAACCATGATTTCTCCACTTGGATCAACACTCCATCTTGCTAAGAGACACTCCATCACAATAGACCGAGCTGGTAACCATGATTTTGCATGATAACGGTCACTCTGAAATTTGAAAAAAACAATGTCATGGAAAAGGGATGTGATGCAATAATTACAACTAAAACACAACCTCAGTAAATCATTCAGCCCCTGTTTATTTGGTTGTCCTCGAACTTGAAAGAAAGCAAAGTGAAAAATTATCAAAATGAAAACAAAGAGCAAATTCTACATATCTGTTAAGTCTTAATGAAGGGAAGACGTAAACTTAAAAACTCACTTCCTACCAGTTCCATTGCTCGTTGAAAGGCTTCGCTCTCCTTGTCAGATGATTGATCAGGATCTATCCAATCCAAATTCAACCTGCTCACCCGTGAAGACAAGTGTGTGTTATTCACATATCTTGATCCCATTGTGGACAGCATCAATTGCCTGTTGCAAGTAATTAAAATTTTCAAAATTACAGTTGGACTAACAAGAATCCATGTCAAAGAGAATCTTTTGAATGGTAAAGAAAACGAAACTACAAACGCCATTTCAATGAAAACTTGATAAATCAAACATATGCAAAATGGGCATCCATATGTGAGTTCAAATGAAGAGAATGAATCAATTTAAGCAAGTTGCATTTACGTAGAATAGAAAGATGCAGAATTTAGTAGTCACCTCCATAAAGCTTTTGTAAACAGCTAAGAACAACCGATGCACATCGAGGTGGCCTTCATCAACCTGAAGCTCCTTGGCTATTATTTCCTTCCCGAAATGCTACAAACAGATTCAACACAAGGAAAGTTAAACACTTGGAAATCCCATTTCTGCAATCCTTAAAAAGAAAGGACCTTCTGAAGCAAATGCCTTGTAAACCACACCAGCACTACTCAGCTTGGTCTTAAACCCGTGTCCGAAAACCTCCTCAAATCCCTTCTGGTGATGATCATACCGATCCCTACAAGGATCATACACACCCCCAACATCAAGCACAGCATCCAGACCCTCCAAAACCTAAAACCTCAAACAAACAATAACAACAATATGAAATCATAAATTGCCTCAAACATTTCCAATTTCGAGCTCTTTTGGATTGGCTTCTTTAAAAAGCACTATTATTTGGAAGCGTCTTTAAGCGTTTCTATTTGGAGTAGATCGAAACATTTAAGAAAAATGAAAGTGCTTACTAGAAAATGAACTTAAAGTGCTTCTTGAAGGAAGCGCCCTTTTCAAAAAGCACTTCAACTGCTCTATTAAACTCCGAAGCACGTTAAACTATTTTGGTTTGGAAAACTCAGAAGCGCTTTTGATGATGTGAGAGCGTTTCGATTTCTTCATTTACCATAAATTTTCTCGGGAACCAATCAGAATAGGAAGGGGATGGAAAACCTGGGGGTCTCGAGTGCGGACGATTTCGGCATTGGAGAACTTGTCGGTGAGGCGAATCATGAAGCAGCCGAGGGCTTCGTCGCAGTGGAAGCTGCCATTGTGGGTCCCGACTTGCTTAGGTGGAGTAACGGTGGCGATGAGGGAACGAGTGAGGTGGAGGTATAGGCGATGGTGGCGGGTGGGGAAGACGAATGGAAGTGTTTACTTAAACCCTCTGCCTACTAGCGGAAGCATGCCTTACCGCGGATTTCAACAGTCGGAAGTTGGGAGTTTTCGAACCTTACCGCTTTTTTATATAACTAAGTTAAAATTTGTGATGATCATATAAAATTTCTCAATTATTACAGTGGTGGAAAGACGTTGTGCTCTTACATAACGGTGTGAGTTTGAATTCCGTTGATGGTTAATCTAACATTTAACTTACTAACGCTATTGTTTCACTAAAAAAAAAAAAATACAAGTAAAAATGATATGTAAAAATGATATTACTAGACTTTAGTATTCATGAGTTATTTGTATTTTTTATAATTATTATTTTGTCATTAATTCTCACCCTATAAATAAGACAAATGCTAAGGAGACTTAAAAGTGTGATATTTATTTACTCTCCGTCATCTCACGTTTTTAACATAATATTTTATAATGGTTGACACAAGAATTGTGTCAAAAATATTGTGTGGCAAAAAGTCATGGAGAATTGCACTTTTGAGTATGATGCCTATAGGGTTTAGGGTCTAATGAGTGAGTTTATTTGTTGAGTATAGAAGTGCAAGTTAGAATGATGTTTTTGATTTCGATAATATAAAATTTCTAAATTTGAACATGAAAATTTTGATCCAAATTTTTTCTGAAGTATTTTGATAAAAAAAACTTTCAAAAACTTTCGATTTTTATAGTTATTTATTCAAATTATATATTTGTAATCAACTTTTGTATTTTAGTTAGTTTTAGATATATTGGTGCATTGTTTTTATATTAAACATACATTTATTACCTACTACTACAATTTAGTAATATTTTTCTTACTTGTAATTTCACTTTCAGGCAAATGCAGATGTATAGATTATCAATTCAGATTACTAATGTCGATTGCAGATTTTTAGATGCTAAAGCGATGCAGATTTGGGATCATATGTTGATGTTATGGTGTACGAAAATAAAGCATATAAGCTACTCATTTAGAAGCCAAATTCATAATTGCATATTCCAATAGTGTCAATGCAAGATTCCAATGCAAATTACGAAAAAAAAATAATTAAAAAAATTGACTTTATTATCATATACAACTATCACTCAAGTGGTCACTAATTCAAACACTCGAGCGATCGTCGTACGATAATGGTGAGTTTTATATATAAAAAAACATGGGACCCGTCTAGTGCCTACTTGTTAAATTTCTTTATTATATGATTGGGTAGCTCTTTTCCATATCTTATCATTTATTGTAAAAATAAAAAATCACACTCATGAGTTGAAAACGTTGAACAAGAAAAAATAGGAATCCCTCTCGTTCTAATCAGGGCTGGTACGAGGAAATTATAGGGTGTGGATAGATGTAAAAAGCCCCGCGTGGGCTTTTCCACGTAAGCATTGGGGATTTCAGAAGACGACAACACTAACACAGCTGTGAGGATCCTCTCCTGAGTTCAGGATGAGAATTTTATTGACCAGCCTATTTGGACCGTTCAAATTTAATTCAACCGTTGTAATTATTATAATTTTTAGAGAGCCTCTGTTTAAAGCCGTTGGATTAAATTTGAACAGTCCAAATGGAATGATCAGGAGAATCCCATCCTGAGCTCAATAGAGAATCCTCTTCACTAACACAGAAGAGAGAGAGGGTGCTTCTTCCTTCCTTTTCATGAGAAATTTTTTACCATGTGTTTTTATATAAATGAGGAAAAAATTGTATTTTTTAGGTTATTAATTTTTGGGGAAAATTGATATAACTTCAATTTTTTAAACCAATAGTAGGAATGGTCCAATTTATTAAAATAAGTCTAATTCTTTAAATTTAATTATTTAATTATCAATAATTATCTCTTAAAAGAAAAAACTTATTGTAAAAATCAAATTTCTTCCTAATTATCTCTTTGATTATTTCTTTTTATATATATTTTTGTTATTTCTTGTTCTTCCTCCTGCTTTAACCCATTTATAGATTTTTTTTTTAATTTTTATAATCAACCTATATAACAGGTTAATTGTATTTATCTACCTATATGACATATTCTTTTTCATAGTCAACCTGTCACATATTAATGTGTCTTGCTTGTAGGTATATTATGTTTTTTTCTACCTTTTAGTTAGGTTTCATATCTCACTTATAGGTATAATATACATTCATATATTTGCTACTTGAGTTAGGGTAGAATGTTTTGCAAATAGATTTATGTTAGTATATTAATTTTTTTTGTTTATAAGATATTAATTAGATATTTTGGAGTTGAAAAATGCATAATATTAAAAGATTTTAATTGATTTTTAATATTTTTAGAAAATATAAAAAGAATATAAAAGAAATAAAAACATATAATTAGATAACTAGAGTCATTCATAAAAACATTCCATGTTTTTTTACTTGGATCTAAAAGCCCCTTAATTTTTTAACACATATATCTCAGTATTTATAAAATAACACCTAATGTGTCATCTCGTGTTCCGATGATGTTGAAACGTCTCTCCTTTTTCAGGGGAGAGGGGGAGAGGAGTGAGGGCGCTCAAGTTTTATTTTCAAACGAATTTCTTTCAATTTCTCCTCCTCCTCCTCCAGCTCTGTTGCTGGTTTCACATCAAAACGCAGCATTTTGCAGAGTTTCTCTTTGATAAGCACATAGCCATGAACGCCCCAATTATCGGTAAACCCCTCTCTCTTCTCTTTCACTTCATCGTTCACTTTTAATTGAAGAATTTTGTTGTCTTTTCTTTTAATTTGATGGTTTTGGGCAACAAAACCCAAAATCTGAATGATTAAGTGTATAATTAATCAATTAATCAATTAATTAAATACTTAATTGTGTGAAGACCCATTACAAGGGGATTTCCCAGAAGTGATAGAGGAGTATTTGGAGCATGGCGTTATGAAATGCATCGCCTTCAACCGCCGCGGTACCCTTCTGGCTGGTATTTTTTTCCACCCACTTCCGCCCCCATTACTTCCTTTTTCTACTTTTCTGAATAAATTTACAAAAGGATAAACAAAAGCAAAGTTGTAAATTTGGTGCACATTAAGTTTTCCTTTTGAGTAATAAGGACTTGAGTCCACAATTTGTAACATTTGTAGAATTGCTAGCTATCCCATTTCATGCTCAACGTAGCCATTTCATGCTCTGCGTAGCCATTTATTAATTGCCTTCGATTTATGCCCGAAAGAGCTAACAGGAGTGTGTTGGGATTGCAACATTTTGGGAGGTATCTTTTTCTGTTGTTTTTTTTTTCAGATTGGTTCTGTTTTGTAGTTCGTCGGAATTCTGTTATTGTCTTCATGCTTTCCCCTACGACAGTGGTGTTGCTGCAGATTTTATGTTTTTTGTTTTCTAGACGTGGGCTCCTTGTTCACTTGTATGTTGTTCGCTTTTAAATTTTCAATGAAGATTATGTTTCTTATGTAAATTAAATTTAATAAAAAGTCTTAACCACTGTCTTGATCGTCAAGTTGCATCTGCAAAGAATTAAGTGAGGTTGTCTATAGCAAGCCGTAACATTAAATATTGATTGTTTAGTTTAAATTTGATTTTTACCATCATTGACATTTGATGTGTCCTTATGTTACTGGAGATATTCTGAAGGGTCTTCTTCTTATATTCTATACTTGTTTGGTATTCTTGACCAGCGGGGTGCTCTGACGGAAATTGCATCATATGGGATTTTGAGACCAGGGGCATTGCCAAGGAGCTTCGTGATAAAGATTGTGTTGCGGCGATAACTAGTGTATGTTGGTCAAAGTATGGCCATTGCATTCTTGTGTCTGCTGCGGACAAGTCGTTGACACTATGGGATGTTGTCAGTGGAGAGAAGATAACGCGAACAGTACTGCAACAAACCCCTTTACAAGCTCGGCTTCATCCTGGTTCGCCTACTCCATCTCTTTGCCTGGCATGCCCTCTCTCTTCTGCTCCCATCATTGTTGACTTGAATACTGGAAGCACAGTTGTTCTTCCAGTTTCCATTCCTGACTCTAACCCAGGGCTTACCCCTCTGTCACGGAACAAAATCTCTGAGGGAACTCCACCTTTCTCTCCTACTGCTGCTTGCTTTAATAAGCATGGTGATCTAGTATATGCGGGGAACTCCAAAGGTGAAATACTTGTAATAGATTATAAAAGTGTTCAAGTGCGTGCCGTGGTTCCCATTTCTGGAGGTTCTGTGATTAAGAACATAGTATTCAGCAGGAATGGACAGTATTTGCTTACAAATTCAAATGATAGAACAATCAGGATCTACGAGAACCTACTGCCTCTGAAAGATGGACTTAAAACCTTGGATGACCTAAATGAGACCCTTGATGGAATTGATGGTGTTGAGAAGTTGAAAGCTGTTGGATCAAAATGCTTAACGCTTTTCCGTGAGTTTCAAGATGCCATCACAAAGATGCATTGGAAAGCACCTTGTTTCAGTGGTGATGGTGAGTGGGTGATTGGTGGTTCTGCAAGCAAAGGAGAACACAAGATTTACATATGGGATAGGGCTGGGCATCTTGTGAAAATTCTTGAAGGGCCAAAGGAAGCCTTGATCGATTTGGTGTGGCATCCTGTTCACCCCATTGTTGTCTCTGTTTCACTGACTGGTTTGGTTTATATCTGGGCTAAAGATTACACTGAGAACTGGAGTGCATTTGCTCCTGATTTCAAAGAGCTTGAGGAAAATGAGGAATACATAGAACGAGAGGATGAGTTTGATCTAATCCCTGAAACTGAGAAGGTTAGAAGAGTCTGAATCTGGGCTATTTTTTGTTCATTTTCTGGTGTCTAATTTAAAGTTACTGATGCAGGTAAAAGGATCTGATATTAATGAAGATGATGAAGTTGATATTGTGACAGTGGAGAAGGATTCAGCTTTCAGTGATTCAGATATGTCACAGGAAGAGCTTTGCTTTTTACCTGCAATTCCTTCTCCTGATGTTCCGGACCAACAAGATAAGTGCATAGAGAGTTCATCAAAGTTGGTGGATAGTAATTCTGGCTCCCCTATTTCAGAAGAGGGCACACCAAATGGATGTGCAATTGATCATGCATCAAGTCCACTTGAAGGTAAGATTACTACTTTGATGCGTATTATGTGCCTTTGCTTGGTTTTTATCACTTAAATTTCAAGTTCACGAGGAATAGCCCCAGAACTCTCATTCCCATTTTCTATTTTGATAGAAAAAAGAGCAAATTTGTTTTTTGAAAATTTAAAACAGTGCAATGAAGGTTAGCAGTTTATCAGGCATAAATTAATATGCCAATACCATAACAAACATGAAGCAAATTTAAAAAAAAAAAAAAGTAGTTGTCCCAAATAAGCAACCCCAAACAGGCACTAAAACTTCATCTTCAAATCATAGATGATCAATATTCTTTTTCCTTTTCGTGCACAACACACCAATGGAGTAATAACAAAACATTACTCCTTTTCCTTTGGATAATATCATATTAACAACTCCACTAGTAAGCTTAATTTGTGAGGTTTGGTGCTTTCTTTTATATTATTCTGGCAACCAACATAGAATGGTACAGTGATGATCCATAAGACATTGAGCTGGTATTCAGATTGTAAATAACTTTTTTCTTGCACATATTTGTTGGACAATTGGCTCGTATCTAAACTTATATATGTCTAATACAGAGGATGCTGGAGCAACACGCTTGAAAGAAAACGGAAGCCTTCCGAGAAGGGGTTGGAGTTTCAGGCTTAGAAGGTTAAGAAACCCTTGAAATCTTCTAGTAGAACATTGTAACTTAAACATAAATCTGTAGTCAATTAGGATTTCGCTTCACATGTGTGTGTATGTATATATATTTAAAAGAAACACTTTTTATTAATTTTCTCCATTCTTCTTATATTTCCATAAATATAGGCTACTTAGATTTTCCTAAGTCTGTCATATTTAACATTCACAGCAGAGTGTTGCTCCACTTGTCACTTTTTCTTTCTGTCTTTTAAGAATTATAAAATTAATTCCCTTGCTTGCTGTATGGATCTATTATCTGTGTTAATGGTTTTGTGAGTTTTCTGAATGGTAATTGGGTATTTCTTTGATTAGTCTTCATTTGTACCCTCATAACTGTAAAGCCTTTGAGGTTCTATAAGATTGTTCTGAATTGTTTGTATCTTGAAAATAATTTGAATATAGTTGAAGTAAAATGCTGAGTGAATCGTAGCAACATATAGGACGAGTGAAACATAGAAAATGCTTGGGGAAGTTTTCCAATGAGGGATAATGACGGCCTTATGGGATATATTCGTGTAGAGGTGGCACTTACTATTTCTTTATCCTCCCTAAAGAATGCTTTGATTTATTGATGTCTCACTTTTTTTTTAATTTTCCACAGTTTCAAATACAGCAGCGATGACAACGGTTGATGCTGCTAGGTATGACCATTCTCTTGCATCTTGAAATTTGGGTGCTTATGATAGTGGCAGTGACAAAATATCTGCGGCGACTAACAACCGAAGAAGTATGACATATATCAATGGCACATTGATTAGTTTGCCCAAAGCTTATGATCACTGTTTTGCCAAAGACGTCATAAATGCCTGTATCTTCACCTGCGTAGCACTCCGTAGACAAAATCCTATTTGGATTACTTGATTGAGATTTTGAGCTATGTTGACACTGCAGAAATTTAGGAGGATGAGGGGAGCTTTGGATGATTTTTAGGTATGTTGTATGATTAAATCATGTGCATGTTAGACAAAGCAGTTTGTAATCTTAGTTTAGTCAAAATGACCAGTTTGATCCTCATCGTTGGGTGCCTCTTCAGTTAGGTCTGTGTAATTATAACCGTCTATATCATGTTTGCATGATCTTTTGTTTACAATTGATGACAAAATTAAAGAATTTGTCAATTAGTTGGAAATTTCTTAGTCAAGTCTCTGTATATATGTTTTCTTTCCAGTCAGGTCTGTCTTAACGTCCTATGCACATCTCACAAACATAAAGGCAGATCATGTAATTTTGTTTTGAGTACTAGTTTTGGGGTCCTCTGCAGATCAACATCTCAATTTTTTGTTTCGGGTATGAATCAATTTCGAGATGATATACCCCTACTGAACCAGTCATTTGTATTGCTGTCATCCAAGGATGGATATATATTACACCTGTCTGTAAGGTATATTTATCCGTCGTAGTTAATTTCTATACAAATGGATGTAAAAGCTGCAATACTTGTGTATGTGTTCGTGTAGTTTGTAATAACAGATCTGTAATGGAATGTGAAAAGATGCTGGCCTTAGTTTTTGCCTTTCCCAGAGTACCACAAAATGTAGGATGCAGAAGCCCCTAGCGCCATAAGAACTAGAACCGCTCCGCCCATATTGATCAACATCTGCTTCTTTTCATCATTCATCCCGTTGCCGAGATTTTTCATACGCTCCTTTGCAGCAGCCATCACATGTGCAGCAATAGAACCCTCCTCCTTAGGCTTACTGAAACCCCTGCTCTTGTTCTCTTCCCTCTCTAAAATCTTAAGGAGGGCCCTTGCTTCTTTGCTTCTCTCACCGGTCTCCCTTTCCTTGTGTATATTAGTTTTGACAACGTTCTCAGCATTCTTCGGTTCTGCATCAGCCTTCCCTTTTGCTTCTTTCTGATCCTTGTTTTCAACCCCCGTTTGATAAACACTCTTGGCAGAAGCCTTTCCTCTCTTTCCATCCTGATCACCCTCCTCAGACTTGGGCTCGCCTATGCCTGTTTCCGGACTAGTCAACGGCATCAGCCTCTTCTCATCCTCCTTGTCCTCTTGTGCTTTTGTCTCAGCTGCAGTGCCTTTCGGAGGAGCTAATGGAGGACGACCATTCTTGTCATCCATTTCTTTTTCATCTCTGGCAGTGAAAGTAGCCTTTTCTGCCTTCGACGCGGCAGCAGCAGCAGCTTCCTGAGCGCTTGTCTTGCCCCTTTGTTGTTCACCTTGAGCAGAAGCAGCAGCTGTTTGAGAAATAACTTCCCGACCCTTTGTATCCGAAGAGGTGTCTGTCGGAGGGCCTGCCGGTGTTGTCAAACTCGGCTTTGAAGGAATTGGGTCCTCTTGAACTTTGTGTGGCTTCGGCTTGACCGTGATTGCAGCAGGTTCGGCTGTTGCAGTCCATGTGATGATGACTTTCTTTGGTATTGTAATGGTAAGAATCCCATTGCTAAATTTGGCATGAATTTTAGTTGCGTCGCAATTATGTTGAACCGGAAATGTTTGGTCGAAACGGCTCCATTTGTTGTTGTCGAGAGGTCTTTGTCCATAAACCCTAATCACACCAGGGTTATGCATATATGTAATCTTAGCCTGCTCCTTCACAAAACCTGAAAATAAACCATATATTTTGCAACGCGTGAGTTAGGTCGGTTCAGTTGTCCAATGAGTCGAGAATTCTCCCCGCTCTCTATAAAATAATGTAGATTGTTAATATAATACCAACGTAATTTGGTACAGTCAATTAATTTTAAAATAACTAAAAACCGCTTTCAAATCATCAAAAGCGGTTATGATCATGTTTGGCAGAAAAAGTTAAGAAGTGTTTTTGGATTCAAAAAAGCACTTGCAATTTAATAAAAAATTTTGACGTGCTTCTAATAAAAACGCTTTTACTAAAAGTGCTAATGAGCAAAAATGTTTTATAAAGAAGCAATTCCATACAAGCGCCCAACATGAGTAGAGAGTCAGGTAAGGAAAGAAAGTAGGAAGAGAAAAGTAAGAGACCAGGCAGATGAACTTGTACAATGTGAGCTTGCTGCTCTTCCTTCAATTCAAAGTGGGGCTGGAAATCTTCATAAATGGGACGATGGGATTGTCTTGGGCGGGTCATAGGCATCTCTCCCTCTCGATGTCCCATAGACATCTCTCTCTCTCTCTCTTTCTCTTTCTCTCTCCTGTTTGCCTGCCTTTTGTTAAAGACCGGATTATTGGTGCTTGGTTTTGGGTTTCTTGTAGGAAATGTTGGGTGGCCTGCGTGACAATTTATATGGGGGGGGTTGGGGAGTAGAGGTTTCTTATTAGTGGGACTATTCCTCTTCCAATATTCCTTTTTGGTTGCTTTGGCTTTGTGGTGTTTTACAATTTCAAGCGTCCCTTGGTGTTGTACGAGGTATAACCTCACCTGCAAACTAAAACTAAAGTTGGTTGGTTGCCCTTACCCACCAATTAGGGTTTTATCTTCCTCACTTCTTTCATTTTCTTTTTACAAAGACGTTATTGTAAACTGCTCTAATTTTCGGCAAGTGATATTTTGTTAACCTCCAATAAAATTTATATTATTAATATATAATTTAATAAGCGATTTTATATCGTATCATATCCTATTTTTTACAAATTTATTGTATTATGCCACTGTATATGTGCTTCATAGGTCATACTTAAACACATTTGCATGAATCTGTGTTAATAGTGTTCAATGGTGCTATTCACATATTTATTTTTACTTCTCACACGGTTCTTGTTAATTTTTGTCTGTTAATTTTTTTTAATTTATTCGATTCGACTACCGAAAATTGAAAATGATGTGTAGATTGGACAACCCCAATTTGTATTGGATGGGAAGAGTCTGCAAGCCTGCATGAAGGAATCGAATTGAAACCTGGGGTGGGCTTTGGATTTGACCCTGTACTGACTGTAGTGGGAGGGTGAGAAGGAACCAATTGTGCAAACGAAAAATTCATGGGGCCGGGCAACATAAGGTGGCCCATTCAAACCAAGTGGGCTTCAAACCATGTCACATTTTCATTGACCTAAATCAAAGTAAAGAAAATATCTTATTGCTTAGGTCTAAAACAAAAAATGATCATTGATAAATGATTAATTAGTAAAGACTGGTAATAGTGTTCGCGCGGTGCTTCGGCGTTGTGTCTTGGTACTGTACAATTTTATTTACAATAATGTATAAAGAGTGGTGTCGAGAAGAAGTGAGATTTCATTAATGGCAACTGTACAACTTTGTGAATTGGATAAATTACATTTTACTTCCTCAGGTGTAGGGTCAATTTCAATTTCATACATTAGATGTAGGGTCAATTTTTAAAAAATGTATTAAGTAAACCGTTAAGTGATGACATGACAAATATAAGATCCACGCGGATGTGACTGCCAAATTTGTATCACGTGACAAAAAAAAGGATAAATTACATAGTAGCCTATCAGGTTTGAGGTCTATTACAACCCCATACAACATCTTTAAAACATTTCACTTTCATACCTCGAGTATTATTTTATTTTAAAATAATATTTCTATTACATTTTTCATCCATTGATCTGTTAAGTGCTGACGTGGCTACCACATTTATGTCACGTGGCTGCCAAATAGATGCCACGTGCTAACTTTTTTTTAAACCTTAATTTTCTAAAAAAAAAAAAAAAAAAAAAAAAAAAAAAAAAAAACTAAAACCGCAACCCCCCACCCCGCAAGCAAACCCAGAAACCCCCTACCCCGCAATAAACCCAGAAACCCGCAACCCCCCCTCTGCATTTCTCTGCTGCTTCCCGTCTTCTCCCTCCCTGGCTGATCAAGTCCAACAATCCAAACCCCCCAACTTTTCTCTCTGCACCCTAAAACCCACATTTCCCACCCCCAAAACCCTCAATCCACACCCGCAAATTCCTAAATGGACCATCGCCGGCCTCCCCGCACAGTCAGCGACCCTCGCCGGTTCTTTTTTCTGCGGTTAAGGTGAAATGTTTTAAAGATGTTGTATAGGGTTGTAATAGAGCTCAAACCTCAGGAACTACTATGTAATTTACCCAAAAAATAATTTTTATAATAATTTACCCAATTAAAAAAAAAAAACAACCCAGAAACCCATCCACTCCCAACTCCCCCGTAAGCCACCACCCCACCCCACCCCATACCCACCTCCCCAGCAACTCCCCCCTCCCCCTCAACTCCACCGCAGGCCGCCCACCCACCTATGTCTTACCTTCTCCCTCTCCTCCACTCTCTTCACCTCCCCTCCCTTGTCTCTCCCCATATCAACATGCACCCAACCCTAATCCCGAAAAAAAATTAAAAAAATAAAATAAATGGAGGCCGGTGAAGGTAAGAGTCCAAATCAAACCTATATCAAAAACCCCAAATCAAACAACCCAAATAAAAAACCCCATTCGGTAGAAACCCAACAAAAAAAAAAAAAAACTGGAAAATATAAACCAGATTCAAGAATAATGGGCGCAGACAACCTGAAGAGGTTGAGCAACAGTTGTTTGGCCGCGAGATTAGGATTATCCTCGTTGTGGGCGGGTCGAATAGGACCAGAGAGGTGAAGGTGGAGAGGTTCGGGATGAGTTGAAACGGGTCGGATCGGGTTGGCAGTGGGGAGTGGGTTGTGGTTTTGGTTGGGAAGGGAGAGGAGGGGAACAAATGGAAGGGGAAAATGGGACAGACGACGAACGAGGATGGATGAGTTGGTGGGTCTCTGGGGAGAGAGAAGGGATGGGAGGTGAAGAGAGTGAAGGAGAGGGAGAAGGGTCGGGGGATGGGTTTCTAGGTTGGTGTTTTTTGTTTTTAATTTTTTATAATAGGATCAATATTATAATATTTTTAATGCATAAAAAATTATTATTTTTGCACAAATTTGGCAGCCACATCAATTTTTAACGGGAAAATATAACGGATGTATTATATTGAAATAAAATAGTACGTGAAATATAAAAGAATTTTTTTTTGAAGATGTTGTATGAGATTGTAATAGATCTCAAATCTGAGGTGGTAAAATGAATGTAAAAGCTGTAATACTTGTTTATGTGTTTGTGTAGTATCTAATAAAAGATTTGTAATGGAATGTGAAAATATGACGGCCTTAGTTTTTGCCTTTCCCAGAGGACTACAGACTGTAGGATGCAGAAGCACCTAGTGCGATAAGAACTAGAATCGCTGCACCCATATTGATCAACATCTTCTTCTCTTCATCATTCATCCTGCTTCCGAGATTTTTCATACCCTCATTTGCAGCAGCCATCACATGTGCGGCAATAGAACCTTCATCTTCAGCCTTCCCTTTTGCTTTTTTCTGATCCTTGTTTTCAACCCCCGTTCGATAAACACTCTCGACAGAAGCCTTTCCTCTCTTTCCATCCTGACCACCCTCTTCAGACTTAGTCTCGGCTTTGCTTGTTTCCGGACTAGTCAACGGTATCAACCTCTTCTCAACCTCCTTATCCTCTTGTGCTTTTGTCTCAGCTGCAGTGCCTTTCGGAGGAGCTAATGGTGGACGACCATTCTTGTCATCCATTTCTTTTTCATCTCTGGCAGTGAAAGTAGCCTTTTCTGTCTTCAACGCGGCAGCAGCAGCAGCTTCCTGAGCACTTGTCTTGCCCCTTTGTTGTTCACCTTGAGCAGAATCAGCAGCTGTTTGAGAAATAACTTCCCGACCCTTTGTATCCGAAGAGGTGTCTGTCGGAGGGCCTGCCGGTGTTGTCAAACTCGGCTTTGAAGGAATTGGGTCCTCTTGAACTTTGTGTGGCTTCGGCTTGACCGTGGTTGCAACAGGTTCGGCTGTTGCAGTCCATGTGATGAATTTCTTTGGTATTGTAATGGTAAGAATCCCATTGCTAAATTTGGCATGAATTTTAGTTGCGTCGCAATTATGTTGAACCGGAAATGTTTGGTCGAAACGGCTCCATGTGTTGTTGTCGAGAGGTCTTTGTCCATGAACCCTAATCACACCATGGTTATACATATAAGTAATCCTAGCCTGCTCCTTCTTAAAACCTGAAAATAAACCGTATATTTTGCAACACATGAGTTAGGTCAGTTCAGTTGTCCAGTGAGTCGAGAATTCTCCCCGCTCTCTATAAAATAATGTAGATTGTTAATATAATATCAACGTAATTTGGTACAATCAATTAATTTTAAAATAACTAAAAACTGCTTTCAAATCATCAAAAGCGCTTATGATCATGTTTGGCAGAAAAAGTTAAGAAGTGTTTTTGGATTCAAAAAAAGCACTTGCAATTTAATAAAAAAATTTGACGTGCTTCTAATAAAAACACTTTTACTGAAAGTGCTAATGAGCAAAAATGTCTTATAAAGAAGCAATTCCATACGAGCGCCCAACATGAGTAGAGAGTCAGGTAAAGAAAGAAAGTAGGAAGAGAAGAGTCAGAGACCAGGCAGATGAACTTGTACAATGTGAGCTTCCTGCTCTTCCTTCAATTCAAAGTAGGGCTGGAAATCTTCATAAATGGGACGATGGGATTGTCTTGGGCGGGTATTAGCATCAGAGCTTCCACCAGGAGGACGATGTCCCATAGGCATCTCTCCCTCTCGATGTCCCATAGACATCTCTCTCTCTCTCTCTCTCTCTCTCTCTCTCTCTCTCTCTCTCTCTCCTGTTTGCCTGCCTTTTGTTAAAGACCGTATTATTGGTGCTTGGTTTTGGGTTTCTTGTAGGAAATGTTGGGTGGCCTGCGTGACAATTTATATGGGGGAGGGGGGGGGTTGGGGAGTAGAGGTTTCTTATTAGTGGGACTATTCCTCTTCCAATATTCCTTTTTGGTTGCTTTGGCTTTGTGGTGTTTTACAATTTCAAGCGTCCCTTGGTGTTGTACGAGGTATAACCTCACCTGCAAACTAAAACTAAAGTTGGTTGGTTGCCCTTACCCACCAATTAGGGTTTTATCTTCCTCACTTCTTTCATTTTCCTTTTACAAAGACGTTATTGTAAACTGCTCTAATTTTCGGCAAGTGATATTTTGTTAACCTCCAATAAAATTTATATTATTAATATATAATTTAATAAGCGATTTTATATCGTATCATATCCTATTTTTTACAAATTTATTGTATTATGCCACTGTATATGTGCTTCATAGGTCATACTTAAACACATTTGCATGAATCTGTGTTAATAGTGTTCAATGGTGCTATTCACATATTTATTTTTATTTCTCACAAGGTTCTTGTTAATTTTTGTCTGTTAATCTTTTTTAATTTCTTCGATTCGACTACCGAAAATTGAAAATGATGTGTAGATTGGACAACCCTAATTTGTATTGGATGGGAAGAGTCTGCAAGCCTGCATGAAGGAATCGAATTGAAACCTGGGGTGGGCTTTGGATTTGACCTTGTACTGACTGTAGTGGGAGGGTGAGAAGGAACCAATTGTGCAAACGAAGAATTCATGGGGCCGGGCAACATAAGGTGGCCCATTCAAACCAAGTGGGCTTCAAACCATGTCACATTTTCATTGACCTAAATCAAAGTAAAGAAAATATCTTATTGATTAGGTCTAAAACAAAAATTGATTATTGATAAATGATTAATTAGTAAAGACTGGTAATAGTGTCCGTGCGGTGCTTCGGCGTTGTGTCTTGGTACTGTACAATTTTATTTACAATAACGTATAAAGAGTGGTGTCGAGAAGAAGTCAGATTTCATTAATGGCAACTGTACAACTTTGTGAATTGGATAAATTACATTTTACTTCCTCATGTGTAGGGACAATTTCAATTTCATACATCAGGTGTAGGGTCAATTTTTAGAAAATGTATTAAGTAAACCGTTAAGTGATGACATGAAAAATATAAGATCCACTCTGATGTGACTGCCAAATTTGTATCACGTGACAAAAAAAGGGGTAAATTACATAGTAGCCCATCAGGTTTGAGATCTATTACAACCCCATACAACATCTTTAAAACATTTCACTTTCATACCTCAAGTATTATTTTATTTTAAAATAATATCTTTATTACATTTTTCATCCATTGATCTGTTAAGTGCTGACGTGGCTACCACATTTATGTTACGTGGCTACCACATTTATGTTACGTGGTTGCCAAATATGTGCCACGTGGTAAATTTTTTTTAAACCTTAATTTTCTTTAAAAAAAAAAAAAAAAAAAAAAAAAAAAAAAAACTAAAACCGCATCCCCCTACCCCGCAAGCAAACCCAGAAACCCCCTACCCCGCAACAAACCCAGAAACCCGCAACCTCCCCTCTGCATTTCTCTGCTGCTTCCCGTCTTCTCCCTCTCTAGCCGATCAAATCTAACAATCCAAAACCCCGAACTTTTCTCTCTGCACCCTAAAACCCACTTTTCCCACCCCCAAAACCCTCAATCCACACCCGCAAATTCCTAAATGGACCATCGCCGGCCTCCCCGCACAGTCAGCGACCCTCGCCGGTTCTTTTTTCTGCGGTTAAAGTGAAATGTTTTAAAGATGTTGTATAGGGTTGTAATAAACCTCAAACCTCAGGGACTACTATGTAATTTACCCAAAAAATAATTTTGATAATAATTTACCCAATTAAAAAAAAAACAACCCAGAAACCCATACTCCCACCTCCCCCGTAAGCCCCCACCCCACCTCATCCCCCTCAACTCCATCGCAGGCCCCCCACCCACCTATGTCTTACATTCTCCCTCTCCTTCACTCTCTTCACCTCCCCTCCCTTCTCTCTCCCCATATCAACATGCACCCAACCCTAATCCCGAAAAAAAAATAAAAAAAAATAAAAAAATAAATGGAGGCCGGTGAAGGTAAGAGTCCAAATCAAACCCATATCAAAAACCCCAATTCAAACAACCCCAAATCAAACAACCCAAATAAAAAACCCCATTCGGTAGAAACCCAACCAAAAAAATAATAAAAAACTGGAAAATATAAACCAGATTCAAGAACAATGGGCGCAGACAGCCTGAAGAGGTTGAGCAACAGTTGTTTGGCCGCGAGATTAGGATTATCCTCGTTGTGGGCGGGTCGAATAGGACCAGAGAGGTGAAGGTGGAGAGTTTCGAGATGAGTTGAAACGGGTCGGATCGGGGTGGCGGTGGGGGAGTGGGTTGTGGTTTTGGTTGGGAAGGGAGGGGAGGGGAACAAATGGAAGGGGAAAATGGGACAGACGACGAACGAGGATGGATGAGTTGGTGGGTCTCTGGGGAGAGAGAAGGGATGGAAGGTGAAGAGAGTGAAGGAGAGGGAGAAGGGTCGGGGGATGGGTTTCTAGGTTGGTGTTTTTTGTTTTTAATTTTTTATAATAGGATCAATATTATAATATTTTTAATGCATAAAAAATAATTATTTTTACACAAATTTGGCAGCCACGTCAGTTTTTAACAGGAAAATATAACGTGTGGATGCAAATTTTCTCCTCCTCGATCTTGGACGATTTTGCACCTACAAAACAACTAGCACCTTAGGTTAAGGCCAAAAGCCTCACGCGCCCACGATGAATGGGTGGGGCTTTGGCCGAAGAACCTCTGATGCCAAAGTTATAATTTTTAGAGAGAAATAGTGTTTAGAGTATTTGGGATTTTTTGCAAGAGGTTTGGAATGAGTGTTTGGTAAAAATGGGTGACTATTTATAGGACTAAGTTGGTCCACTTTTTCAAGAAAGTGGCCGGCCCCTTTGTGTGTTTTTTGGTGAATTTTTGTGGTTTAATTAGTCACTTTATTGGCTAATAAAATATGATATAAATAAATGGGAAGTTACCAAATTGAATGACTAGCTTTATTTGGGTAATAAAGTGGAGGAAATCAGAAAAGGTAGGGAAAAGAAGGGAGGGAATGTGGCCAGCTACTAGGTGGGAGTTTTAGGTTTTATTTTAGGTTTAATTAGCCAATTAATTGGCTAATTAAATATGAAAGGAAATGTTTTAGTACTTTATGGTATTGATTGGCTAATAAAAGGGAAGAAATGATGGAAAAGGTAGAAAAAAGGTGATGAATTAGGTTTTGAATGGGATAGCCGGCCCTATACTATTTTTTAGGTTTGAGTGGATGTTTCAAATTGATAATTAAAGGATGATTTTATGAGATATGGGAAGAATATATTATTTAGATAATTAATTAACTAAATAATATATTAGGGAAATTAAGTTTTGGAAATAATTACCTAAAATAAGATAATTTGGAATTGGTTACCTCTTCTGGAGCATTTTTGAATTGGTTGAGGATGATTACCCACTACTTGCGCGTAGGAATCCCGGTATGCCTCAAGGGTATTTTTGTCCTATTTCGTTCAAAAGTCCACGTGTCGCCTAGTGAATATTTTTGGCTCCACAAATGCCCCCACACCTGTTGAGCTGTTTGCAGAAAAGGGCAATAGGTGTAGAGATTTTCTTGCTTTAGGAAACTCTGAACTGCTTCCTATTTTGTTGTTGATTCTCTCTTTCAATAGGAAATTAAATCTTTC